CACACGGTAGAGGGACATCACACTAGGCAGAACACAACCGAACTTTCATCTGGGACATACATACCTAACAGTGTCACTATCTGAGGGGAACGCCAGGCGACATTTATTGCTCGTGCTGGCGCTGTTTATAGTATGGGTGACAGTACCATTCTTTGTTGCTCCCTGTCTCTCTCTCTAGTAACACCAGAGACGAACAGATACGAAACGATATCTGTCACTTTTAATCTCATGAAATTCACGTTAAATGACTACCCAGGGATAAAACTAAGTGATGTTTGTTGCTTCCTGTTACATGATCACGAAAAGAATCTCCAGATAAGTTAATAGTTAAAAACCTACAACTCCTCTTTAACGTCTCGCTATAATAACTACATAACAAGATACAGGAGTAAATAATACCGCTACTGTTTCTTCTGTATAACTTTCATAAAAAAAAGTCCTAAGAAATATATAAAAATCTGACTAATATTTTTTTGCGTTTCCCTTTAAGAATTTCCCTAAGAAAGATGAACAGCGAGGTAGGGAAACTATCCGATTCATTTTGTGTTACTTGTGTTACCTTAAAGAAGTAGGTGGGGAAGTCAAGGAACTAAAGTAAGTGCTCCTTGTTACCATTAAGTACGAGGTATCATTGTCAAAGGATGAACGTAAGTGCTCCTTGACTCCTTGTGTGTTACTTTCATAGGAAGGGGAGGGGGGATGGTCAGGCGAGGCTTGTGGCGAGAAAAATTTTTCCCATCGATCCAAGACCCTGGGGATATGTGAGAGAGAGAGAGAGAGAGAGCGAGCGAGCCAGTGAACAAAAGAGTGTGTGTGTGTGTGTGTGTGTGTGTGTGTGTGTGTGTGTGTGTGTGTGTGTGTGTGTGTGTGTGTGTGTGTGTGTCTCCCCGTAAAGTTATGATGAACTGGACGTACAGAGATCCTTGGCTTGTCCTCCTGGTTTATGTGTTTCTGGTGAGTCACGGGTCAGAAGAAGAGAAAGAAAACTAAGGAGAACAGACAGACAGACACACACACAGACGGACAGACAGGCAGACAGACAAATAGACATATCATAAAGGTAAGAGAAATAAAAAGAGATAAAAGAGACCGAGAGGTAAATATCACCCTCCATGTCATAAAGAAGAGTTATCACAGTGAACTTTAAGCGTATAATTGTACTATAATTATTTATTTTTAACCAGCTGAGAAAACGAGATCCTTAAACCTTACAATCGTGTTTCATCTGTTTTGTTTTCATGTTTATATTAAGGTTAAGAAGGTCCAGGATATGGGTGATATTTTCCCAAATCTTACGTGATGTTTAGACAAAGGGAAATTGATCGCTATGGAGGAAAGGTTGATGGTCCTTGATAGTAATTTTTGATAGAAGTAGAGTCTGATGGTGTACGGGGTGATGAGATATATTGTTTAGAAGTAGAGTCTGATGGTGTACGGGGTGATGAGATATATTGTTTAGAAGTAGAGTCTGATGGTGTACGGGGTGATGAGATATATTGTTTAGAAGTAGAGTCTGATGGTGTATGGGGTGATGAGATATATTGTTTAGAAGTAGAGTCTGATGGTGTACGGGGTGATGAGATATATTGTTTAGAAGTAGAGTCTGATGGTGTACGGGGTGATGAGATATATTGTTTAGAAGTAGAGTCTGATGGTGTACGGGGTGATGAGATATATTGTTTAGAAGTAGAGTCTGATAGTGTTTAGAAGTAGAGTCTGATGGTGTATGGGGTGATGAGATATAGTGTTTAGAAGTAGAGTCTGATGGTGTATGGGGTGATGAGATATATTGTTTAGAAGTAGAGTCTGATGGTGTACGGGGTGATGAGATATATTGTTTAGAAGTAGAGTCTGATGGTGTACGGGGTGATGAGATATATTGTTTAGAAGTAGAGTCTGATGGTGTACGGGGTGATGAGATATATTGTTTAGAAGTAGAGTCTGATGGTGTACGGGGTGATGAGATATAGTGTTTAGAAGTAGAGTCTGATGGTGTATGGGGTGATGAGATATAGTGTTTAGAAGTAGAGTCTGATGGTGTATGGGGTGATGAGATATATTGTTTAGAAGTAGAGTCTGATGGTGTACGGGGTGATGAGATATATTGTTTAGAAGTAGAGTCTGATGGTGTACGGGGTGATGAGATATATTGTTTAGAAGTAGAGTCTGATGGTGTCTGATGGTGTACGGGGTGATGAGATATATTGTTTAGAAGTAAAGTCTGATGGTGTACGGGGTGATGAGATATATTGTTTAGAAGTAGAGTCTGATGGTGTACGGGGTGATGAGATATATTGTTTTTATTAGATATGGAAATAAAACTTTCTCTTTTGGGGATAATTTAGGTGTGAAAAAATTTACTTTGTTGTTATTAATTCGTTACTAGTACTACTAGTAGTAGTAGTAGTAGTACTGCTGCTGCTGCTGCTGCTGCGAGCATAACTACTAGTATTATTACTAGTATTAGAACTAGTATTATTACTAGTATTACTACTAATATTATTGCTAGTATTTTTTTTTTAAATGGCCTCCATCCTCCCCCTATAGCCACACCTTCGCCGCCATTTTATTACCTTAAAAATTGAATATCCTAATACATAAGTAGCTATCCTAGCTGTGTTGAGTTAGTTGAGCCGCAGATCTAATAATAATAATAATAATAATAATAATAATAATAATAATAAACGGTTTATTAATAGAGTTGCAGCCGGTGGCTGAAAATATACAGACTTACATCTATGCGGCATTCACTGACTGTTGCCTCATAGTCAATATCTGCAACTGTTGTCGGCTTTGGGGCCGTTGCTCTCGTCCCCCTGAGGAAGAGCAAAGCCGACCTAAGGAGAGAGAAGGACAGTCGACATCTCATCCAGGCTGTTACATAACTTCTGGGCTGCTGCTTCTGTTCGGATAGCACCTCCGCTAGTCTGGCGTAGAAGCATCTTGCACTTGGTCCCATCCCACCAGAGGTTGTGAACACTAGAGGAGTGAAGCTGCCTTGAACAACGTTCTGAATTCTCTCCCCATATGCCCTTATCTTGTCGTTCTCGTTCCACCAATTATTGCTAGTTTTACTACTAGTATTACTACTAGTATTATAGCTTGTGTTATTGCTAGTATTATTACTAGTATTATGGCTAGTATTGTTGCTAGTATTATTGCTAGTATTACTATTAGTATTATAGCTAGTGTTATTGCTAGTATTATTGCTAGTATTACTACTAGTATTAGCTTGTGTTATTGCTAGTATTATTGCTAGTATTATTACTAGTATTATAGCTAGTGTTATTGCTAGTATCATTGCTAGTATTATTGCTAGTATTATAGCTAGTGTTATTGCTAGTATTACTACTAGTATTATTACCAGTATTATTATTAGTATTATAGCTAGTGTTATTGCTAGTATTATTACTAGTATTATGGCTAGTATTGTTGCTAGTATTATTGCTAGTATTACTATTAGTATTATAGCTAGTGTTATTGCTAGTATTATTGCTAGTATTACTACTAGTATTATAGCTTGTGTTATTGCTAGTATTATTACTAGTATTATCGCTAGTGTTATTGCTAGTATTATTGCTAGTATTACTACTAGTATTACTACTAATACCACCAATAATTACCAAATAGAAAAGTTATACGAAGAAAGAAGGAAAGAACGTGTATAATACTGTTTTATAATCCAAGTAAAAAGATAAAAGACGAAGGCAGAAGTGAGGGGATGTCACAGTAAGTTATGAAGAGGCAACAGGTTGGTGGAGGTTTACAGAGATTTACTTCTGACAAAAAGGAAAAAAAAACACGAGTGAGGTTTTCTGAAGACCAGGATTACGACAACTAACCCATGTGGAGTGGGAGGGGGTGATGGGTGTTGTGTGTGGTGGTATTGGTGGTGGTGTGGTTGGTAATGGTGGTATTGATGTTGTGATGGGTGGTGATGGGGGTGATAGTGGTGGTGTTAGGAGTGGTGGTGGTGATAGGGGTTGGTGGTAGTGTTGCGGGTGGTGGTGATACCGGTGGTGGTGATAGTGGTGGTGATGGCGGTATTAGTAATAGTTGTGGTACTGGTGGTAGTGGTGGTACTGGTGATGTAGTAATGGTGGTAGTGTGAATCCCCCTGACCATCTTACATCTTCTTCATCTTATTCTTCTTCCTGCTTCTTCTTCCTCTTCATTCTCTCCTATTCCTTCCTTCTCTCATATGCAGGAGACGTGAATGAGGACTTTAACTCAGTAGGAGAGGATCAAATACTTTCTTGGAAGAAGTGTAAGGCGTTCAATGTTTGAAAATGAGAGAGAGAGAGAGAGAGAGAGAGAGAGAGAGAGTCTGTCTGTCTGTTCGTCTGTGTCAGTGTGTGTGTGTGTCATCGTGCTACTGACAATATATCAACACACATGTATCTATATTACTCTTCTGGTATATACGACCCGACCCGACCCGACCCGACCCGACCCGACCCGACCAACAGAGCGCCCCAACAAACAACTCGTTTAATAAATACGCGACTCCAAAAACAAGTAAGGGCTGGAGGGGTGATCTGTGAGGGATGGCTCTTGACAGCTGGAGGGCCGGTGAGAATGGGAAAACTTGGCCGCAGGAAAGATGTGTAGAGGGGGCGGGGCGGGGGTGGGGAGGGCGGGGCGGGGGTGGGGAGTAGAAATGTGGGTATGGGGATGGAAAATGGGGTGTAGAGAAGCGGGAGGAGAGTAGGGGGTATAAGGAGGGAGACTGGGGAGGATAAGAAAGGTGTGGGGAGATAAACGTCGTGGGGAGTTGACGGAAAGAGTAAGGAAAGTGGGAAAAATATGATGATGTCTGGTGTGGGGAGAGAAGTAGGGAGGGAGTATTTTAGACTGGGGAGTGTGTAGGTGTGGGGGAGTGGAGGAAGGAATTTTGGAGAGAGGAAGGGGGAATGTAAAGAAGAGGGGCTGAGAGAGGAGGGAGGAGAGTGAGTGGGGTGTGAGGGAAAGGTGGGAGATCTAAGGGACGCTGAGGACAAATGGAAGGAAATGGAGTGGAAGGTATGTAGAAGAAGGAAGAGGAGATGGATGGCAAAGAGGAGAAAAATAAGAGGTGGATGATGTGGATGAGACTGTTCAGGGAGGAAGAAGAGGGGGAGAAGATGTATGGCACGGAGATGGAATGTGGCGTGCGGTGGGGGGAGAACAGGCGTGTGGTGGCGGGAGAACAAGCGTGCGGTGGGGGGAGAACAGGCGTGTGGTGGCGGGAGAACAAGCGTGCGGTGGGGGGAGAACAGGCGTGTGGTGGCGGGAAGAACAGGCGTGTGGTGGGGTGGGAACAGGCGTGTGGTGGGGGTAGAACAGGCGTGTGGTGGGGGAGGAAGGCGTCGTATAGGGCATGTCTCCCATGGGTCATTAGTATTCATGAGGGAGGGCCAAGGCCACAACCCTCGACCTATTTACACTTCACCAGAAACTTTATGACCCACAAGTGTAACAATTTTACCCTAAGTTACTTTTAATTCATTACTCTCGAGGCTTACAATGTGTTCGTATATTCTGTACAGTACGTTCATAGAAATCCACTCGTACTGTTCATACATCAAACACACACACACACACACACACACACACACACACACACACACACACACACACACACACACACACACACACACACACACACACACATGCATTTAAATGTGTAAGTGTGTGTGTGTGTGTGTGTACATGTAAGTATACAGGTGTGTGAGTTTGAGACAGTACATCAGTCGTGTGTGTATTTAACGTTCAATGTAATGTTCGTGTGTGTCTGCTGTTATGTACGTACGTGTGTGTATTATGTGAACGTATTATGTAAATGGGACTCTTTCGTCAGCGGAAACTCTTGTTAAGAAAAACAGAATTGCAAATTGTTTATATTACACCAGCCAAGGTGACCCGGACGAGATGGAGAGTGAAGTGAAGTTAAGAGCAAAGTTATTGTTGGGGAGGTGAGCCGGATACCTGGACCCGGAGCAGGAACGGGAGCAGGAACAGGAACAGGACTCGGAACAGGACTAGAAACAGGAACAGGATTAGAAACAGGAACAGAACCAGGAACAGGAACAGGACTAGAAACAGGAACAGGAGCAGAATCAGGAACAGGAACAGGACTCGGAGCAGGAACAGGACTAGAAACAGGAACAGGATTAGAAACAGGAACAGAACAGGACAGGAACAGGAAGAAACAGGACAGAACCAGGAACAGGAACAGGACTAGAAACAGGAACAGGAGCAGAATCAGGAACAGGAACAGGACTCGGAGCAGGAACAGGACTAGAAACAGGAACAGGATTAGAAACAGGAACAGAACCAGGAACAGGAACAGGACTAGAAACAGGAACAGGAGCAGAATCAGGAACAGGAACAGGACTCGGAGCAGGAACAGGACTAGAAACAGGAACAGGATTAGAAACAGGAACAGAACCAGGAACAGGAACAGGACTAGAAACAGGAACAGGAGCAGAATCAGGAACAGGAACAGGACTCGGAACAGGATTCGGAACAGGATCAGAGCAGGACCAGGAAAAGGTTAAGTGGGTTACGTTAGGTTAAGTGGGGGATAATTTAGAGTTCGATTAAGTTACAGTAGACTTGAGGGAAGGTAGAACTGTGTCCCGTAGACTTGACGACCCAACGAAGCAAACATACCCGGCACTGAACTCTCCACCTTCATTACCTCAACTGTAAAGTCAGGTACCTATTTACTTGTGAAGGTAAGAGCCAGGTTAACCCGAACGGAGCCAGCGAGCCTTAGAGCGAGACTAACCCTACAGTATATCATCCCAGCCGCCTTTACCTGTATAAAGGCACTACAGATACATATGGATTACCAAGTGAAAGTAGTGTATCATTGGCTACCAGCTCAGATTAACCCTTCAGAGTGATTAACTAATAACAGCAGAGCGTTAATCTACAGGTGGTAGTCCGGATTAACCAATCAGAACAGTCGCTGGAAACACGAAGCTTAACAACAGGTGTCCCTTAACGTCATAATAACCCCTCCCTTCCACTTCTCCCTACGTCCCTTCCTATCCGCTCCCCTCCCCTCTCTTCCCTCCCCTCCTATCCGCTCCCCTCCCCTCTCTTCCCTTCCCTCCTCTCCTGTCTTCTAAATTCAACCTTTTCCTACACCTTCCTTCATCCATCTTACTCCCTCTACCTCTCCCCTTCCTCCCCCAGCCCTTTTTCTCAACCCCTCTTCCCTATCTTCCTCTCCACCACTTGTTCCTCTCCTTCCATTCTTTCATTATTTACCCCCATTCCTTCCCTTCCTTTCTTCTCCTATTCCCATTTTTTCCCTAAATTTGTTTCCCTTCGTCTTATTTTTTTTCCTCCCCCAAAAAGACAAAAACAATAGCGGTGTCCCAGGAAGAATGAACCTCGGTTGAATTATGTAGAATGGACAACAAAGATGATGATATGGGAGGTGAGAGCTGGAGGTTTGTGTGAGAAGTGAGAAATGTGTTGGCTGAGGAAGCAGGTGTGAAAGGTGGAGGGATGTGTGAAATATGGAGGGATGTGTGAAAGGTGGATGGTCATGTGAGAGGTGGTGGAAGGTCGTTTGAGTGGTGGAGGGGTGTGTGAAAGGTGGAGGTGTCGTTTGAGTGGTGGAGGGGTGTGTGAAAGGTGGAGGTGTCGTTTGAGTGGTGTGAGGGGGCTGTATGAGATGTGTGATAGGGGAGTAAGATTGGAGAAGGGCTGCGTGAGAGGGATCTGAAAGATGTGAGAGGTAGAGAGTTGTGTGGGTTGAAGATTCCCTAATTGGTGTCCTTAAACCTTATGAAAGATATCAAGAGTGAATAGTTAGAATGAGGATGAGAATGAGGAATGAGGATGAGAGTGAGGAATGAGGATGAGAATGAGGAATGAGGCGTGAGAAAGAGAGTGAGGAATGAGGATGAGAAAGAGAGTGAGGAATGAGGCGTGAGAAAGAGAGTGAGGAAAGAGGCGTGAGAAAAGAGACTGATAAATATTATGAAGGCGAGAGTAAGAGAAATACGCAAGAGAGGAATAGAGTAAAATGTGCTGTGTAACGGTGAGAGTGGAGTGAGAGGTGTGAGAGTGGGCTAAGCATGTGGGAGTGGAGTGAGAAGTGGGTGAGAGGTGTGAGAGTGGAGTGAGAGGTATTGAGGGGGGTGTTGGGGTACAGCTTTAAGGTAGATGGGAGCCTGCCCTCTGGGAGGTCGTCAGCTCTATAATCATGGCAGGTTATGTGCGAGGGAACTTGATATGTGAGATAATTACTAGGTGAGGGAGGTTGGATGGGCAGGTGAGGGAGGGAGGAAGGGAGGCAGGTGAGGGAGGTAGGGCATAGCTTGTATTTAGTGGTGGAGTAACATTGGGAAGCTTGGACGGTCAATAGTAAGATTTAACACACACACACACACACACACACACACACACACACACACACACACACACACACACACACACACACACACACACACACCGTCGCCAAACAAGCAGAAGAAAAACTTTTATTCACCAGAGAAATTGGAGCTACAGCAAGAGACTTTTTTCCTCTATTTTTATGACAAAGTTTGGTATTGGTATCCAGCAGTACATTGTAGTCGTTCACCAGGTCTCACTGACATACAGATGAAACTCTGGTAAAGAAAGTAACGAGAGACACGAGGCTTGTGTTGCAGGTCACAGGTGGAGGCAGAAGGCACAAAATTGAATATCTGATCACCACCTGAGACCGTGAAGCTTCAAGCAGATATATCAGCTTCTCACTCGTGTTATATAGAGACGATGATACACATGTTATAGTGAGTGGATAGTTGACTCTTCCTTTTATGTAGTTGTAATTTTTATATTGAAATTCTTATAACATTTCATATATATCGATGCACAAATTAGACGTTATGGTTAAGCTAATATTTATTTATAGTAACCACAATTAATTTACGTTGTAGAAAAACTTAAAGGTGGAGCGATAAGGAGGCGATATGAGCTGTGCAACGTGAGCGAGCAGCCCCCTGATGAAGTGTACGAGTGTGTGCTGATCTGGGGAGGGAGGGAGAGAGAGAGAGAGAGAGAGAGAGAGAGAGAGAGAGAGAGAGAGAGAGAGAGAGAGAGAGAGAGAGAGAGAGAGAGAGAGAGAGAGAGAGATATCACCAAACTCTAGTTGATCCAGATTTTAGATGGGCAGCTCAGAGAGAAATAATGAATGAAAAAAAAAAAGAAAGAATGAATAAATGAACGAATGAATGAACCAGGATTAATACACACCTAGCTTGATGATCACAGGTAAACAGACAGTTGTTGACTCTTGGGTTTAAGCGACTCCCAGGTGAGAAGATAAATATTTAACATGATAACATCTGGAGGTGTCGATCACTATTTAATGTGATATATGACTTTCCTCCTGCAACTCTCTCTAGTGTGTGTGTGTGTGTGTGTATGTGTGTGTGTGTGTGTGTGTGTACTACCTGCAATATTCAAATCTGAGTTATCTGCAGGTGAGGAAACTCTAATGGGACAGCAGAAGGGGTACTGATATATGTAAAGGTAATAGTAAGGTGGTGTCTATCTCTCTCTCACCTCTCACACAGCTCTCACATATCCTTCCTCCTCTCACACGACCCTCTCCACCTCTCACACAACCCTCGTCACCTCTCACACGACCCTCTCCACCTCACACACGATCCTCTCCACCTCACACACGACCCTCTCCACCTCTCACACGACCCTCTCCACCTCACACACGACCCTCTCCACCTCACACCCGACCCTCTCCACCTCACACACGATCCTCTCCACCTCTCACACGACCCTCTCCACTCCACACACGATCCTTCTCCACCTTCCACGACCCTTCCACCTCTCACACGACCCTCTCCACCTCACGACCCCTTCCACACACGATCCTTCCACCTCATACACGACCCTCTCCACCTCACACACGACCTTCCACTCCACACACGACCCTCCACCACACACACGACCTCCACCACACGACCCTCTCCACCTCTCACACGACCCTCTCCACCTCACACACGACCCTCCACCTCACACGACTCTCCACACCCGATCCTCTCTCCACCTCACACCCGACCCTCTCCACCTCACACACGATCCTCTCCACCTCACACACGACCCTCTCCACCTCTCTCACCCAGCAGGCGTTGTTCACTCCTAATTCAACCGCGGCTCATTCTTCTTGGCCCTCCTCGTTTTATTTACCTTTTTGAGGGGAGAGAAACAAAAGGGTTGGAGGGAAGGAAGAATAAAAACAAATGGAACGGAGGGGCTTTGAAGGATGGAGGTGGAAGGGGAGTGGGTTAAGGAAATGAGGGAAAGGGGGATGAGAGAGAAGAATGAGGTATAGATGTGAGAATAAATGAGGATAGTAGGGGTGAAAGAGGATAATAGTGAGGGTATAGTAGAAGAAATAAAAGGGAAACATGAAAGAAGGAACAGGATGGGATAGAAGTATTAAAAGCAGGAGGTGGAGGATGGGGAGGGTGAGAGAAAGTTAGGGATGAGAGGAAACAAGTAATAAACAATGGAATGGATGGGAGAGGAAATTTGTGGGGAGTGATGAGGTTAAAAAATGGAATAGAAAAATATAATGAAGGTGAGGGGGAGAAGGATAGATGAGATAAAGGAGTAACGTGAATACGAAAGGGGTATGGAAGAGGAGAGGCAGTGAGGAGGAGGTAGAGAGGAGAGGCAGTGAAGGGGTGGTAGTTAGGAGAAGGAAGTGAGGAGGAGAAAGTGAAGAGAAGGCAGTGATGGTTAGAAGCAGTGAGGGAAAACAGTGAAGGGGGGTAGGTAGTGAGGAGGAAGAGTCAACACCTGGTCAAAATATATAACGAAGGTCATTTATATAGCATGATTACTATGGCGTTAAGTGACACCTGTTGTTAAGCTTCATGTTTCAGCGACTGTTCTGATTGGTTCATCCGGACTACCACCTGTAGATTAACGCGCTGTTGGTAAACACTCTGAATGGTTAATCTGTGCTGGTAGTTAATGGTATAACGGTATTTATTGTGATTTATCTGATTGGTTAATTAACACCGTAACCCACACCTGTATCTAACCAGACTTAACCTTATCTAATCACATCTATGCTTAAATAAACATAGCTGACCTTAGCTACCCATAACTATCATTAACTATGTAATTATATCTAGCCTTCATTACCCATATCTAACCAAATCGTCCCCAATGTACACTATCCTAACCAAATCGTCCCCAATGTACACTATCCTAACCAAATCGTCCCCAATGTACACTATCCTAACCAAATCGTCCCCAATGTACACTATCCTAACCAAATCTTCCTCTACACTAACCTAACCAATTCCCAAACACCTGGTCTTAATCACCTCGTAATTCACCTGGGCAACTGATTATAGGTAATACAGTGCTATAGTGACATGTTCCCTATTGTTGACAACTACATAACTGTCTGGTTAAGCTCCTTATTGATATGGAAATGAGATCTGTTTATGTAGGGACGTGGGTGGGTGGTGGGTGGGTGGGTGGGTGGGTGGGTGGGTGGTGTGTGAGGGGGGGTGGGCTGGGTGGGAGGAATATCGCCAGCATGAGCAATTATCTGCGTCTGGCATTCTCCTCCACCTCGTAATTACTTATCCGGATTGTGTGTGTAAATGTGATGTATAGTAACACACACACACACACACACACACACAAACACACACACACGCACACACACAAACACACACACACACACACACACACACACACACTGAGCTTCACTCTTACTAAATTAATTAATAAGTTAAAGGTGTTTTAAACTGATATTAATGCCTGTTATATTATTGAACGTTTAGAAGATGTGAAAAGACTATGAATATATTTTTCGAGGAACGATATATTTTCTTTCTTTTTTCTGTCGTGTAAGAACATGAGAGAGAGAGAGAGAGAGAGAGAGAGAGAGAGAGAGAGAGCCAATTAAGACACTTCTGTATCCTAAATATCCTTAAAATAAAAGAAATCTAAATGCAGACCAGAAATACTGAAGACAAGGAGAAAAATGCTTCGACCACAAACTTTCTCTACTTGTTAAACTTACCTGTAACACCTGAGACCAACACAAACACGTGTATTTCACAGCTGACTGGAGCACAACACAGTGTTCTATCCACCACACGAGGGAAAACAAAAGAAAAGCATTACACACACACACACACACACACACACACACACACACACACACACACACACACACACACACACACACACACACACACACACACACCATTTTGAACACTAAATAACATTAAGACGAAAACTACATCACAATAAACTTATAATTTTACTACACATTTCATTCTTCAATCTTGACCTTTAATGACAAAAGTAAAACATTGTCATAAAAAAATAGTTACACTCATCAGAGGTCGTTAACGGTGGCTCCTTAACTACTGGTCATTAAGGGTCGTTGGGTAAGTTAACTAGCACGGTAATTACACCAAAAAGTAGGCCAAGACTCCCAGAATTTGGTTTTATTTTTAGTTTGAGTTTAGTCTTTAAAGGTAAAACTTACTCAAAATACAGCGTTATGTAGCGACAGATGAGTTGAGTCTTCCTGCTGGGGTAGTGAGATGTTGATTGACTCTCTGCCTCACCTCCCTGTAGATGCTTATTATTATTATTATTATTATTATTATTATTATTATTATTATTATTATTATTATTATTATTATTATTATTATTATTATTATTATTGTTATTGTTATTGTTATTGTTATTATTATTATTATTATTATTACTGTATTATCATTATGATTATTAGTTGTAATATTATTTCTCGTACTAATAATACTAAATGATGTTCACTGTAATCAATGCTATCATTATCATATAGATATGAAATGCTGCTAAATTAAAATTTCATAATTGTTATCATTATCGCTTTCATAGCAGCAATATCAAATTATATGATTATATACTTTAGATAATTGTTTTTGTTGGGTGTATGACTACAGTAGATAAGCTTTAGTCTTGAGAGCTGTTGTTACCTACACAGTGAACGGGGATAGTAGTGAGCACGATGAATGGGCGTGTTAAACCATATTTGTTAGCCAGAACTGTTTATCGATCATCCTCGTGTCTATCTCGTCTTTCATGCTCGCTCCATAACTTATCAACGACTGAAGGAATATCAATAAAACATGATACTAGAATTTGTAAATGGAAGTTAAAGTTGTCGTATACTCTATTCAGGACGACCGTCTCTTGAATGTCGTCAATATTTACAGGAGTACCTTGTGTGTAGTGTAGTGTAGTGTCCTGAAAGAAGTATATCTTGAAAACTACGAAAACTGTACCCAAAAAAATGCATACAGATTCAAGACCCTGACAGACCAATACGTCGACTCACAATTATTGAAATATTAAGAGAATATAAAAAAAGAACTTTATGTCACGTATATGTAGTTCCTTGTACCACTTCTCCATCCTGAACTCGAGAGGTAATCGAATGTTTTATGACTTGCCAATATAAGCATAACACCTCGAAGCTTTTAGCGTTATAGCTTCGTTTACTTAGACTGGTCGACGGAGTGTAATCTTCCCGTGTGGTATGCTGGACTCTCTCACCACCTCGCTCACACTCAGACAGACAGACAGACAAGATTAAAAAGGCCAAAACCCATAAGTAGGTGGAACATGTCCCCCCCCCAGTTGTTACATGTTGATGAGAGACTAAAAAGAAGTTGTAGTGAGACCATACAAAGACTTACTATGGTTGTGGGGAGTAAATGGACATACGTGAAGTCATTTGTCGATAAGAAAATCACATTGTAAATTAAGACGACGAAAAATCGGAGGGAGATGTAGGTATTCTTGTTAACCGGAAATTAGATAGATATACAAAGGGGGAATTGGGTAGTGTAGGGCAGAGTTCAGTATGATAAGATTAATTAACTTTGTAACAATTTAGGCTCACATGAGGATTAGGTTTTAAAAAAATATTGATGACAAATTTTAAGAAGAAAATAAGTGAAATTCTACCGAGGATTTTATTTAACCTTAGGATAATGAAATAATTAGTTATTAATTAGATCATATTCTGTTTCAAGGAAAATTGATGAATTCGGAAAGCCAAAGCAGAGACTTCCTCAGGTAAAGGTGTGGGTCAGACCGAGTCCCTGTAATGAGTTTAGTGAGGCTAAACCTTAAGAAATTAGAAAGAAGAAAGTTAGATGAAATGAAATGTGATTTAGGAAAGGTGAAAACAGAGGCACGTGGAGAATTTACGAGTGAAACCACAAATAGACGCAGCAGCAGCAGCCCCACTCCTTCCACCCCTCCCCCACTCCTTTCACCCCCTCTCCTTCCACCCCCCTCCTTCCACCCCCCTCCCCCTCTCCGTTGACCTCCTCTTCCTCTCCTTCCACCTTTCTCCCTCTCATAACACCCTTACCCCTCTCCACTCCCTCTTTCATAACACCTCTAACCCTCTCCACTCCTCCCACTCTTATTCCGCCTCCTTCCCCTCTCCTTCCACTATTCCCTCTTTCCTTCCACCTCCACCTCATCTTCTTCAGCCTCCTCTCTCTCTATCTCCCTGTCCTTCCTCCTCCCCTCCATCCCTCCCTCTCCTTCACACCTCCTCCCCATCTGTCCCCTCTCCTTCCACCCCTCCCCATCTGTCCCCAGCCTGCCCTTTCCTTCCACCTCTCCCATTTCCTTTCACCCTCCCCGTCCACTCCTCCCCCACTCCCGTCCTCCTCCTCTCAGTCCCCTCTTGCCGCCTACCCCTCCCCTCCTTCCTCTCACTTCCCACCTTCTACCCCTATCCCATCCCTCCCCCTCTCCATCCACCTCTCCCTTCCTTCCACCCACCCCGTTCTCCTACCACCTCCCCTCTCACCCCTCCCCTCTCCTCCCATCCCTCCCCTCTTCATTGACCCCTCTCCTTCCACCTCGTCCCCCTCTCCCATCCCTCCCCACTCTTCTTCCACCTCCTATCTTTCCACCCCATCCTTCTACCCCCTCTCCTTCCACGCCTCTTCTCGTCTTTCCACCCACCCCTTCTCCTTCTCCTTCCACCCCTTCCTTCCCCTCCTCTCCTTTCCTCCACCCCTCCCCTCTCTTCCCCTCCTCCCCTCTTCTTCGACCCCTCCTTCCACCTCCTACTTCTTTCCTCCCATCCCTTCCCTATCCTTTCTCCCCTATCCCTCCCTTCATCCCATCCCTTGATGAAAGGGTCAACTCCCAATCAGTTCACCCCCAGCCTGATAACCTGTACAGAGTCTTGGTTCTCGTTAGGCTTAAACAAATCTGTTTTGATCACTGTACATTATTTAATGAGAAAGTGTTGTTCTCTTGGTAATTTGTTGTTTATTTTACCCATTTCTTAAAACTCTCGAGTATCCCAGGTTGTCACGGGTTCATGGCTATTCCTGATCCCATACTTAATTTCATGGACTTTTTCTGTTGGTTTTTGTGTTCGCTATCTAGCTCCTGTAATGTTTTAATTCCAGCTGTCATATGATGTGTTAATCCGTTTGTGAATCATCGCCTTCGTCCACTTATCGCATTATAATGATTATGTAGTGTTTGGAGGTCGCCGCCGGGGGAAATAATCATAACAAATACCTCGGTCTCGTTTGTAGGTCGTCAGCTTGTTTGCTCGTCTCATCAACCTGGTTCAGCTGAGAGTCCGTACACCTTGCATTAAACCCCTTTTTAATATCGTACCTTCCAGCCCTACCTTAGATCCATAGTACAATGTACGTAGATAATCTGATCATACAATTTTGTTCCCTTGTATTATTTTCAAAGTTTATATTAGTTTAGCTACGGTAGGTTATTTGACTCCTGTGGTAGAGCCGGTGACAGCGAGGCGCCACACAGTACATTAGCTCTTCACTCGTCCAGGTGTCTGGTGGTCACTGCTGGTAAGGTTGGACCTCTTTTTTCCTAGGTTATCTGTAGGAGTGAGAGATCTAAGTCTTTATTATTTCTAGCACGTAGGCAGGAGTGTTTAATTTGTGACTTATGTGTATATTTAGAGTATTATTATGTATCATGTTTACAGTATGTTTACACTCGCCATAGATTATAAGTACGTAACCTGTCCCTCCACTCTTTGTGACTTTATCCTCTGGCCATTGATTAAGGAATGCTCTGGTCATAAGAGAGTAAGGAGGGGGAGACCAATAAGGACTGAGGAGCACTCTGTAGGTTATAACTGGCTGCCACACTTACCACAACGTCTGCCTTCAGCACTTTATATAAGTTAGTACTGTAGTGTATTTATCACCTAATAAATACCATTGCTGTTGTGGATTTATCAGCACTTGACGATATCGTAGTGTAGAGTGAGGAAAAGGCGAAGTCCCGTGTATCGAGGTTCTACGGTGTCAATTAATCAGTCCCACTCGTATTGTCCCATCACTCCTTTCACCATACAATAAGGTTTTATTCATGTGTTGTATTGCAGGGGAGAGGATGGAACGCTAGAGACGGCCACACCTGTTCCCCATCCCAAAGAAATGCCGGGTACCAGACGCCACAAGGACAGTCGTTACTGCCAGTCAGCCCAAGTGAGTTGTAGTAAAGTCATAGATATTGAGTAACTGTGAATCTCTTCTGGTGATGCATTATACCCCTCCCTCTGTAAAGGCCTAGGACTTAGGGATAGAAATCCCTTACCAGGCTAATCAGGATCTTAATAAAGGAAAGTCAAGGACCATGGTTTCCCGAGGAATAACAAACAACCGTTAGAGATTGGCATCTCTTTACTATAAAAATATAACACAAAACTCTGTCACCACTCAACAAACATCAAATAATTACGGGAGTCAAACAATTAATGGAAGCAACAATTAAAGGAATCAAACAAATAATGGGAGTCAGCAATTAATGGAATCAAACAATTATAGAATCAAACCATGAACAAATATTTCCTACGGCAGTGGCCCTGGGGGAAGGTTCTGGAACACGGTGATGCACACTCAGGGTAACGAAACGTCCACTTCGACTCCACACTCAGCGACGTCTTGAAAAGGCAGGAGAACACCGGGGCACCGACGGAATGTGATGAACTGATGGTCGTGGTATGCGGTAGTGGTAGATGACCAGAGAGTTGGCAGTTGATAGGTGAAGGTCTGGGAACACAGCCCACGAGTCCAGGACCTATGATGAGATCACAGCCAGAATTTGACGGACAGCAGGGAAGCTAGATACTGACGGTATGGCGGCTGGGTTGAATCTGCCGGTGGCGGAGATAGTCGCTGCAGTTCTCACCTCCGTCCAACCACCCCAAGTGTCGTCTGCACCAGCAAACGAGCGAGTTAGCAGCGGTAACCAGCCGGAGGATCGTTTCCGCCCTTACACCCTCCCTCCCACAGCCCCACTGCTTATTTCACCTGGTGACTAAACACCTTATCACTACCTGGTTAGGTTAGTATTAGGATATGACGAATGGTCGGCGGCGCATTATCATTGGCTGGGGCTGACACTGATATTCTCCATTACAGCTGGTGATGTGACGGGCTGACCTCTCGGAGCGGGGCGATGGACCGGAAAGTGCAGCGAGTGTTGGCACCCTTCCAAACTACTCCACCCCCTTCCCAAACTCCTCCTCCTCCCTCCCTCCTCCTCCTCTCCCCATCCTCCTCCCCCTCTCCTCCTCCTTCCTCTCCTCCTCCCACTCCTCCTCTTCCTCCTCCTCCTCATTTTTTCTCCTTCCTCCTCCCTCCTTCCTATTTCCTTTTCCTCCTTCCATGTTGCCTCCTCCACCTCATGATGCGAAAATTTCCCATTTCTATGATGCAAACTTCCTTTATGATGCAAAATTTCATTACGATGCGCAATTTCCATTTCTATGATGCACCTATTTTCTATGATGAAAATTTCCCATTTATATGATAAATTTCCATTTTTTATGATGCTAAAATTTCCCATTTTCTATGATGCAAAATTTCATTTTCTATGATGCAACCCATTTTCTATGATGCTAAAATTTCCCATTTCTATGATGCAAAATTCCATTTTCTGATGCTAAATTTATTTTCATACCTATTTTCTATGATGCGCAATTTCCCTTTTATATGATGCTAAATTTCCATTTATATGATGCAAATTTCCATTTTCTATGATGCTAAAATTTCCATTTTCATGATGCAAAAATTTACTTTCTATGATGCAATTTCCCATTTTCTATGATGCAATTCTCCTCTGATATTTCAGATGAATTTCTCTATGATGAAAATTCCCATTTTTCATGATGCGCTATTTCAGATCTCCCATTTTCTATGAAGAAAAGTCCCTTTTTATCCCATTTTTAATGTCCATCATAGAAAATGGGAAATGATCATAGAAAATGGGAAATTTTCGCATCATAGAAAAGAAATTTGTGCATCATAGAAAATAAAATTCGCATCATAGAAAATAAATGGCATCATAGAAAATGGGAAAATTGAGCATCATAGAAAATGGGAAAGCATCATAGAAAATGGGAATGGCATCATAGAAAATGGGAAAATTGAGCATCATAGAAAATGAAATTTTAGGATCATAGAAAATGGGAAATTTTAACATCATAGAAAATGGGAAATTTTAACATCATAGAAAATGGGAAATTTCGCATCATAGAAAATGGAAATTTGAGCCTCATAAAAATGGAAATTTATGATCATAGAAAATGGGAAATTTTGCATCATAGAAAATAATTTGCATCATAGAAATGGGAAATTTACATCATAGAAAATGGGAAATTTGGCATCATAGAAAATGGGAAAATTGAGCATCATAGAAAATGGAAATTTTGCGCATCATAGAAAAATGGGAATTTGTGCATCATAGAAATGGGAAAATTGAGCATCATAGAAAATGGGAAATTTTAGCATCATAGAAAATGGGAAATTTTAACATCATAGAAAATGAATTTAACATCATAGAAAATGGAAATTGCATCATAGAGGAGAGGAGGAGGAGTCGGCGTAGGAGAGTGAAGGGGAGGAGGGAAGGAGGAGGAGGAGGAGGGGAGGAGGAGAGGAGGGGAGGAGGAGAGGATGGGGAGGGGAAGAAGAGAAGGGAGGGAGGGGTAGGGGGGGAGGGGATAGGGAGGGGAGGGGAGGAGGAGAGGGGGGGCAGAGAGCGGGGAGGAGGAGGGGGTGGAGGAGGAAGGAGGAGGAGGAAAGGGGAAGGAGGAGGGAGGAGAAGGGGAGGAAGAGAGGGGGGAGGTGGGAGAGGGTGGAGGAGGGGAGGAGGAGAGGGGGAAGGAGGAGAGGGAGGAGGAGGGGAGGAGGAGGAGGAGACGGAGGAAGGAGGAGGAGAGGGGAGAGGAGGAGGAGAGGGGGAGGAGAGCTTGAGGAGGAGAGGGGAGGGAGGGAGGGGAGAAGGAGGGAGGAGAGGGTGGGAGGAGGGGAGGGAGAGGGGAGAGGGTGGAGTAGGGAGAGGGGGGGAGGAGGATAATCCACAACAGCAGGTATTTATTAGGTGATAAATACACTACAGTACTAACTTATATAAAGTGCTGAGGCAGACCTGGTAAGTGTGGCAGCCAGTTATAACCTACAGAGTGCTCCTCAGTCCTTATTGGTCTTACTCTTATGACCAGAGCATTCCTAATCAATGGCCAGAGGATAAAGTAACAAAGAGTGGGGGGACAGGTTACGTACTTATAATCTATGGCGAGTGTAAACATACTGTAAACATGATATAATAATACTCAAATACAAATAAGTCACAAATTAAACACTCGCCTACGTGCTAGAAATAATAAAGACTTAGATCTCACCCCACAGATAACCTAGAAAAAGAGGTCCAACCTACCAGCAGTGACCACCAGACACCTGGACGAGTGAAGAGCTAATGTACTGTGTGGCGCCTCGCTGTCACCGGCTCTACCACAGGAGTCAAATAAACTACCGTAGCTAAACTAATATAAACATTAAAAATAATACAAGGGAACAAAGTTGTATGATCAAATTATCTACGTACAATGTACTATGGATCTAAGGTAGGACTGGAAGGTACGATATTAAAAAGGGGTATAATGCAAGGTGTGCGGACTCTCAGCTGAACTAGGTTGATGAGACGAGCAAACAAGCTGACGACCCGCAAACGAGACCGAGGTATTTGTTATGATTATTTCCCCCGGCGGCGACCTCCAAACACTACATAATCATGATAATGCGATAAGTCGACAATGGCGATGATTCACAAACGGATTAACACATCATATGACAGCTGGAATTAAAACATTACAGGAGCTAGATAGCGAACACAAAACCAACAGAAAAGTCCATGAAATTAAGTATGGATCAGGAATAGCCATGAACCCGTGACAACCTGGGATACTCGAGAGTTTTAAGAAATGGGAAAATAAACAACAAATTACCAAGAGAACAACACTTTCATTAAATAATGTACAGTGATCAAAACAGATTTGTTTAAGCTCTAACGAGAACCAAGACTCTGTACAGGTTATCAGGCTGGTGGGGTGAACTGATTGGGAGTTGACCCTTTCATCAAGGGATGGGATGGAGGGGAGAGGAGGGAGAAAGGATAGGGGAGGGGTGGGAGGAAAGGAGTAGGAGGTGGAAGGAGGGGTCGAAGGAGAGGGGGAGGAGGGGTGGAAGGAGAGGGGAAGGGGTGGAAGGAGAGGGGAGGGGTGGGAAGGAGAGGGTGGAGGGATGGGAGGAGAGGAGGAGGTGGAAGGAGAGGGGAGGAGGGGTGGAAGGAGAGGGGGAGGGGTGGAAGGAGGGGTGAGGGATGGGAGGAGAGGAGTAGGAGGTGGGAAGAGGGGGTGGAAGGAGAGGGAGGAGGGTGGAAGGAGAGGGTGAGGGATGGAAGGAGAGGGGTGAGGGATGGGAGGAGATGAGTAGGAGGTGGAAGGAGGGGTGGAAGGAGGGAGGAGGGGTGGAAGGAGAGGGTGGAGGGATGGGAGGAGAGAGGGAGGGTGGAAGGAGAGGGGGAGGTGGAAGGAGATGGGGATGGGAGGGAGAGGGAGGGTGGGGAGAGGGAGGTGGAAGGAGAGGGTGAGGGATGGGAGGAGAGGAGTAGGAGGTGGAAGGAGGGGGTGGAAGAGGGAGGAGGGTGGAAGAGGGTGAGGATGGAAGGAGAGGGTGAGGATGGGAGGAGATGAGTAGGGAGGTGGAAGGAGGGTGGAAGGAGAGGGAGAGGAGGGTGGAAGGAGAGGGTGAGGGTGGAAGGAGAGGGGTGAGGATGGAAGGAGGGAGGGTGGAAGGAGAGGGGAGGGGTGGAGGAGGGTGAGGATGGGAGGAGAGGAGGGGAGGTGGAAAGGAGGGTGGAAGGAGAGGGAGGAGGGTGGAAGAAGGAGGGTGAGGATGGAAGGAGAGGGTGAGGATGGGAGGAGATGAGTAGGGAGTGGAAGGAGGGGGTGGAAGGAGAGGGAGGAGGAGGGGGTGGAAGGAGAGGGGTTGAGGGGTGGAAGGAGAGGGTGAGGGATGGGAGGAGGGTGAGGGATGGGAGGGAGAGGTAGGAGGTGGAAGGAGAAGGTGGAAGGTGAGGGAGGAGGGGTGTGGAAGGGAGGGAGGAGGTGGGAAGGAGAGGGAGGGTGTTTTAGGGAGAAGGC